CCACCCCATCCAGTAGTACCTCTCGGGCCGCCAGTCCTACAGCTGGCTCCCCGCATAGAGGACGGTGGCAGGCGAGATCCCCTGTTTTGTGGTGCCCTAGGTACAGGCTCCACACAGGGCACAGCCTCAGGGAGGCTCTAGCAATAGAAGCGTCAGAGCAGTGAGGGCACAGGGGAGCTTTGCAGCTCTTCGGGGACGAGCCAGATGAAGTTTTGTTTAGCCCAGAGCATGCTCCCTGGAGGTGCCGGCTGCTGATGGAATCCGGGGTCCCTCACTAGATCGTTCCTTATTCATCCCACAAACATCAGCTGAGTGGCAGCACCAGCCCCCCGGTTGTGCCACCCTGAAGCAGGTGTTTTCTCTTCCCACAGACAGTGTGCTGCAGCCTGCCACGCCCTGTGATGAATCCACCCCCCCACCCCCCCCCCTCTTTCCCTCCCTCCCTTTTTTTTTCCTGGTGTTCTCGATACGCACGGCACAAATGTACCAGACTAACCCAATAATAAGAAAGAACCCAACATGAGGTGTGTGCGGTACTGTCTCAAGGAGCCTCAAATTAAAAACCATACCGTCCTTCTTGTGGATTTGGTACGGCGGTCACTGCTCTAGGCTTCAAATTCGCCGACGGCGGCCAAGGCAACAACATATGTCTACATTTAGTTGTTCGTGAAACCATTGAAACGTTGCGTGCTGGCGTGTTTGGTGATTTCGCCTTCCCTACCACCGGTCTGCACGCCAAGAGTAAGACAGGTAAAGCGCCACATGAAGACAGATGCGATGAGATGTAGTGTAGCACCAACTCACTAGCGACGGGACTCGTAGGCAGCTCGCACTCCGGCAGATCCGCGCTAGGCTTCTAGCCGGCTAGCAAGGCAGGGAGTAGAACTTGATTCTGGGCACGTTTACCCGCCAATGACGAGGGGTTCTCGAAACATGTATGTTGTTGAGAACGCCACCCAACGGAATGTGGTCAATTTAGAGTAAGTATACCTGAGACGACGTCTGTTCGAATTCTCGTGGTTGCTGACACAGCCTGGCGCTGGGTGGGCCGGGCCGGTATCATGTTGCACAACAGGACGGGCTGCCAACAGCTCGCGGGACAGGCTAAAAAGTAAAAAGTGACATAGCTGAAAAGCACGCTGAGTGAGGGCCGAGACTCGAATCTTGAGTCTTGGCCAGCTTTGTAATGTGCCATCAAGGAAGCGGGTGGGAGGTCTGTTGGCAGAATGCCACAACCTTCATGGTAACCTTCGTGGCCAGTCAACAAGTGTCAAGATGATGTGCGAGAACTGCTGCAGGTGGCTTGCCTCATCTCGTCTCCGCTTTCCCTCTTTGGCCCGCCTGCAGAGGAAATTAATTCAGACAGGGGAACAGCCCCGAAGGGTGCCCTGTCAAGCCTGAGCCCGAGGGTGTCTTTGTCAGCGTCGTGGCGTTCTTAGCGTGGCCTGATCGTCTGGGATTTAGATCTCTGATCTGTCGACAACTCAACGGGTGCCGATGGCAGTCGGCTTTAGCGGAACCACGTGCGTCAACAGAATGGATGGCGATACGCCCCGGGGGGAAGGGAAGGAGGCGGGTGGGGGAGACAAAAGAAGATTGAAACCGACAGGGAAGTGCTCGGCGAATTGTCTTTATTGACCAAACAAACGATTGGCCCTCAAGTCCTCCTTATTCCGCGTTATCAACTGGACGAGCCGAACTGTTTGGGGCTCGGTGTACGTTTGCAGACGGGAGCAACACAAGGTCCTAGCCGCAACATGGAGGGCGGATGGTTGACGCCACTGCGACGGAACTGGTCGGCTGTATGTAAGTCGGTATGTCTGTGAATGTCGATGTCGATTTCGACGTCCAGTAAAAGGTGCCCAGCCCGAGCTAACAATGCTGGCGAGGCCAGGGTTGTATCCCGGAGGTGTTTTGGGAACGATAAGCCCGGGGATCCACAGCGGAGGAGGCCGCTCTGCCCAGGGGACAAGCTTCAGTTCAGGGGTCCCTCCCTGGGCTCGTGCGATCGGTCGAGGGGAGCGTGGAGAGGTGGGGAGCTTCTATCCCGCCACGTTGTGCTGGGGAGGGAGGTATGCAGGCCGAGACCTGAAGAAGCTTCCAATATGAGATCAGCCACCCAACCCCTGCCCCGCCCAGCCTTTACCCGGTCCTTTGGTGCCTTGCCCGAAGCACATCTTTTTTTGGCATCGCTGTCGGGGCCTGGATCGTGGGGATGATCTTCGTCACCCTGTATCGAATCTATATCGTTAACCCCCATCATCCATCGCGTGGCTCGTAGGGCTGGGTGGCTTCTTGTGCCACTAAGACTAGTGTCTAGTGTGGTGCGCAGCGTCGGAGAGCCGTTAAGCGACCCCTTAGTCTCGAAGCCAAGGGGCGATGAGGGGGTGTTTCCCGTCTGCATTCCCATCCGATCCCATCGGCCCGTCTGTGTGGCTGGCCGAGTGGGTGTGGTCTGCCGTGGCAACGAAGGGAGCGAGGAGTTGACAGAGGTGTATTTCGTCATGGGGCGGGACTCTGGGGAGGTCCCAAGGTAGTGTATGCTGTGCCGCAGCGTAAGCTGACTTGACAGTTAACCCGACGGTGCACCCACCCCACCCCCCTAACCGCCGCGGGCCAGAGGCGTGCTTCGCTTGGTATGCATGGCATGAGGGCATTTCAGGAGGATCAAAAAGATCGGCATAGGATGCAACCTCGCGCCACGCCTCGTCCGGAGCTGCACCATACGGCCCGTGTAGAAACTCGAGATGTAGAAGAGCTGGGAGGAGAGATAACAATGTCGCCATATACCGAAACACCGCACTCACCTAGACCTGGACAAGCACAGGCAACACCCTCTCCACCACCATTCTCTATCCACAATGTTTCAGACCGAGTCCCACCCCGCGGGTGGCAGCCCTCTCCAGTCCATACGATCATCATGCGATCGTTGTCGGCTTCAGAAGCTGAAGTGCACCGTCCAGTCGATGGAGTCGGACGGCCGCATGGTATGCGAACGCTGCGTGCGGGCCAAGGTGCCATGCGCCTTTGGCCGTCGACGGCGTGCAAGCCGGCCCAGCGACACCAAGAAGCAAGGAGACTCGTCGACGAGGCGATCCACGGCCCCGCGCACCACCAACCCAGAGCCAACAGTCCTCACGCCTCCCCTCTCCACAACCTCATCCACCAGTGAGCAAACCCTCGGCGGAGCTACACCGTCTCCCACACTCGCAACAAGCTCCGCCCTCGAAGCGCCACTCGAAACCCTAGCCGAGTGCGAGCCCGACACAACAGCGCCCACATACTCATACCACCACCACCACCATGATTCCTACCAGCTAGGGGAGGGCCCACCAACCCCCTTCCCCAACCCCGCAACCACCGGCGGCGGCAGCGGCAGCAGCATGATGGACTGGGACTGGCTCGAGCAAGACTTCCACGCGAACGAGCTGTACTGCCTAGACCCGGAACTGCTCGCGTCCGCGCCGGCCTCCACCTCCACCTCCACGGGTTCCCCCACCGCGCACCACCGCGCCCTCCCCGACGGCGGCAGCGGCAGCAGCACCATGTCCATGGGAGGCGGAGCGGACACCCCCTTCAGCACCACTGCCTCGGTCGCCGGCCGCCGGCTGCCCGCGCTGATTGCCGAGATGCAGCAGCGCCTGGAGGCGCTCGAGAACGGCGCCTGGCTGCACGACGGCGCGCAGAGCTTTGATCACTACCCGATCGGCGCTGTGTTGCGTCTGTCGCAGGAGTTTGGCGCGCTGGCGGGGCAGGTGCTGGGTATGGCGGCGACGTATGGGGGTGGTGGTGGTGTGCCGCCGTCGGATGTGGCCGGGTTGCAGATGATGGCGGCGGTGGGGGGTGGTGGTGGTTTGTATGAGTTGGGTCGGGGTGGGCTGGCCGAGGGGGGCAGTAGCACGGCCACGGTGTTGCTGGTGCTGGGCGGGTACGTGTTCCTGGTGCGGTTGTATGGCTTGGTGCTGGGGCACTTTCATGCCCATCTCAACCGCATCCCGTCCGGCAGCCTCGGCGGGCACATGCACTCGACGCCGGCGCCTACCACCAGCCCGACACTTCAGCTGGGTGAGCTCCCGAGTGGGGGCGCCATGCCTGATGTGAGCCGGATCCACGCCGCGCTTGGGATGTTGCTGGCTGCGCTTCACAGTGTTGAGGAGCAGTTGGGGCAAGGGGGGGAGGTGGCGCGGGAGATGGTGGTGTCGATTCTTACGCAGGGCTCCGGGTTGGAGCCGGCGAAGCTACAGGATGGGTTCGGGGACTTGGGCGAAAAGGTGCGGTCGGTTAAGGAACTGCTGCGGGAGAAAATGGGTCTTTGAATGGGAATAGTTATACAGGGACTGGGCTCGATAGATCGATCGGTAGGGCTCGGGAGCGGAGCCGGATTTCAGCAAGGCACATCATGTCCGTCGACTGTTGCAATGCGATGCGACGGTGTTTGGCCGTTGGGCATACGCGTGAGACATCCACGCAAGCGAGGAGGTTTACTTGGTTCATCGAGGGAGACAGCGAATCCTGCATATTCTTTATGTCGATCATCTTAGATGCGAATACGCACATTGGTTCGTCTTGGTGGAGCAGTAACAGCAAGCCGCGCGGTAATAACGAAGTGATATCCGTCATGGGAGTTGTTTGCGACGTTGTACTTGAGAATTGCAACACATGGGGGCCGAGGCCTCTACCGCGTGGTTCCTTCGATCCTATACAACCTGGGCAGGGGGTTCAAGGGGGAGTTGTCCGCCTTGACCGTCCCTGTGACTCACGTCTTACGAAGCTTCAAGATCTCAGGGGCGTCCTTAGCCTCCATAGGTGTCTAAGCTATGAACTCGCCCGTCCCAAGTCATGTCCGTAGAGGCACAGCACGCGACTGACGAATTCACTTATCATCAATCTCGACCCGCGTGCGTATAACTAGACCGATATCCCCCATTGCACAACCAGTCGCACAGGTCTTACTGCATCGTCCATCCCTTGGTGTCCATGGCTTCTCCCATAGTATTCCGCAGGCCGTCCGCGCAAGCGTTGTGCGCACTGCCACTTTACCTTGCTACCTTCCTTCTTTGATTCCGGCTTTTCCCGCTCCCGGCCAGTCGTAACGACAGGACGGGTAGCGAAGTGAGACCTGCAGCTTAGTGAAACGCGAGACCGGAGCGGTCAAGTTCGGACATTTTCGGACAACCGGTCCTACCCACCATGGATGCAACTTGGACATGAAACGGCTACGGAGCTTACAAGGGCGTCAGAATCAACCGGTAGAGACAAATCCGAGATACTCCAGAGATATTGACAGCTTGGGGTACCGGCTACCGGTAGGAAGTAGAATAAGAATACAAAGGTTGTGAAGACGAGTAAGGGCAGAGAAGAGATTAGAGGAATTGTCACGCAGTTGAGAAAGAAACCTCAAAATACACAACTCAAGAACAAATTCAAGATGGCTATTTCCGCCACCACCCAATCCGCCCTTGTTGGCGGCTCCCAAGACGACATCATCCTGTCCACCTCCGCGCCGATCCCCCAGCGGCTCGAGGATGACCAAGTCGCAGTGGCCGTCAAGGCCATCGCACTCAACCCGGTAGACACAAAAATGCTCGGGGACTTCCACACCCCCGGTGCTGTCCTCGGATGCGAATTCTCCGGCGTCATCACCTCCGCCGGACCCGTGGCCACCTCGGAATGGGGCCTCCGCGAGGGGGACCGCGTCAGCGGCGCCATCATGGGCATGAACCCCCTACGTCCCCAAATCGGCGCCTTCGCCCAGCACACCGTCGCCCCCGCCCACGTCGTCCTCAAAGTCCGCGAGGACTGGGACTTCGCCCAGGGCGCCGGCATGGGCAACGCCTGGTATACCTCCGGATGGGCGCTCTTCCACACCATGGGCCTGCCCGCGGGCCCGCAGCTCGAGCCGCTCCACACCCTCGTCCCGCCACCCCCCGGTAACGCGGGCAAGCTGCCCAGCACCAACAAACCCATCACTGTCCTCGTCAGCGGCGGCTCCAGCTCGACGGGCACCACGGCCGTGCAACTCCTCAAGCTGGCCGGCTACCACGTCATCGCGACGTGCTCGGCGCGCAACTTCGACCTGGCGCGCCAGTACGGCGCCGACGAGGTCTTCGACCACAGCTCGCCGACCTGCGCGGCCGACATCCGCGAGCGCACGCGCAACGCCCTGCGCTTCGCCCTGGACTGCATCACCACCCCCGAGACGACCCGGCTGTGCTACGCGGCGCTGGGCCGCTCCGGCGGGCGCTACGTGTCGCTGGACCCGTTTAGTGAGGCGGTGGCTGCGACGAGGGGCGTGGTGCGTCCGGATTGGGTGCTGGGTCCGGAGCTGGTGGGCGAGGATATTGCCTGGCCGGAGCCCCATGGGAGGAAGGGGAATCCCAAGGCGAGGGTTTTCTGTGAGGCGTGGACGAGGACGCTGCAGCGGTTGGTGGATCAGGGGTTGGTGAAGACGCATCCGCAACTGGTGAGGGATACGGGGTTGAAGGGGGCGTTGGGTGGGCTGGATGATATTAGGGCTAAGAAGGTCTCGGGGCAGAAGTTGGTTTACTTGTTGTGAGATGGGTATCTACCTGTAGGTGTGGCTTATCGGGGGTGTCTACTGGTTTGAGGGGGTTTCCTAGGTTAGTGGTTTGAAGGGTAGAGCACGCGAGAGATTTCCAGGGCAAGTGGCTCTAGCAAAACATCTTCATCGTCGTCTGCTGGTACCCAGGTACTTTCTCGCTTGCAAACGTAGATTATACCGAGCAATGACTTGTATCTCGCCTCCAACGATGCACCAACAGCTGAAAGCCAAGCTGAGGCCTTGCGTACTCTCTCGGTGCCGTCACTATACTCACTATCCCATTTCCCGGGTTCCATACGGAGTAATTCGGTGCAACGAGGCCGCAGCTGAACGCAGAGCGCCAAAGGTAAGAGGTGTGGTTCCGCGGCCCCGTCGAAGGGGCACACCTCCATTTCCCCGGTAAAATGAGAATGGGGGAGTAGGAGGACTCACCAGCCAAGTACCCATGCCGTGCTTGATTACGTAGTATATATCCGCCGGTGATCCGTTCAAGTTGCTACGTTTCGGCGTTTGTATTCCTGGTTCACTCCAAACCTGGCGTCCTCCGAGACTTTCTGATCCCCTTCACACGTTTTGATTTCCACACACTCGCCGGCAAGATGGCATCTTTCAACAATGTCTTGACCAAAGCTGCCGCCGGACGCCTCTGCAAGGTATGCTCAGGTTTCTCTCGTTGTGTTTTGTGCCCCCTAAAGCGAACGCGAAGAAGGGGAGGGATCCACAGAATATGTCCACATAATGTTCAAGAAGAGGGCTAAACACGATCACAGGCTATGGGCGTGCGGATGGTGGCCAACCCGCTCGTGGTGCAGCTGGCCGCCAACGCCGGCTTCGAAGCGCTGTTCATCGATCTCGAACACTCTACGTTGTCGCTCGCCGACGCCAGCGCCATCGCCTGCGCGGGCCTGCTCAGCGGGCTGACCCCCCTCGTTCGCGTGCCCTACCAGTGCGGCATTGGGTTCGTGCAGCAGGCGCTCGACGGGGGCGCCATGGGCATCGTGTTCCCGCACATCCACACGGCGGCGGACGCGCGCGCCGCGGTGCAGACGTGCAAGTTCCCGCCGCTCGGGGTGCGGTCCATGTGGGGGCAGCAGCCGGCACTGGGGATGCGCGTCACGGCCATCGGGCGCATCGTCGAGGTGTGCAACGCGGCCGCGTCGTCCGTCATCGTCATGATCGAGGCCGCCTCCAGCATCGAGAACATCGAGGCCATCGCGGCCGTGGAGGGTGTCGACGTGCTCCTGGTCGGCTGCCTCGACCTGTCCACCGACATGGGCATGCCCGGCCGCTTCGAGACGAGGGCGTTCCGCACAGCGCTGGAGAAGGTCAGCGCGGCGTGCCGGCACAGCGGGAAGACCATGGGTCTGGCGGGCATCTACAACAACCGCGAGCTGCACGAGTGGGCCATCAACACGCTGAATGTCCGCTTTATGCTCTGCCAGCAGGACTCGAATCTTCTCGCAATGGCTGCCGTGGATTGTGCATCAGCGGTGGCTAAGATTGATAGAGCACGGTTGCTAAACTAGGGAGTTGTGATGAATCGGAGGCTAATTTGTTGTTCTATAAGGGCGGAAGTTTCTTTACGGTTTCGGCGTCAGTAGCGAAGGATATTAGAACATCTCCATATCAACCCCTTTTGCTGATATCCCGATGAAAGTGGATAGCTCACACTGCCTGTGAGATTATGTCTTCTGTTAGGCAAGATGCACGCAAAATCACCTAGGCGAGCAGTTCCTGTGAGGTACCAGTCTTGTAGCGGCGGCACGCAACGAACCCCCATCTTCAAACATCTTATCCAATACTGCTTAAGGGGGCCTTAGTGTAAGATTCTTAGACAAACACTTAACTAACGATACCCATAATGGAATTAAACAGAGCATGATAATTACGAGGGAAAAAAAAATAAAATATTACCAAAGCATCAACAGTAACTGAAAATGTCAGGAACGCCAAGGACTATGCCGCCATTGATGATGGACTGGGCTGAACAACCCAACGGCCGCGCTAAACCAAGGGGCATGGTGATTAGTCGGGTACCTTACCTACCTTGGTACGTAGGTACCTACTACCTACCTGGATACCTAGGCAAACAATGGAGAACCACATCTAATAAAACCCTACAATGCTATTCACGATGCATGGCCTTCAACACCTTCCAACTTGAGCCTGGGATATGCCGAGCCGGTACGGAGTACACCGGAAACCGACCCGGAGAGGCGAACACTACAAAAACCACACATTCTACGGAGCTACTCGGGGCTGTGCGAGTCGGAGGCGTCTCGAACGCTCGGCCAAACTCGCGGCCGTATTCCGCCGAGCAGGCTGACTTCGGCCGGAGTTATTCCCCTTCCTTGCGTCTGATGGTATTTCCGATGCGGATATTCCAAAACGCTTAGGTTCCTTTCGGTATTTTTCGGTGTAAAGCATCCAGGCAGCCAAACATGCGTTTCAATACGACTTTCATTTCCGAGTAAGCCAAACCGCTTTATGCCGCTACCGAAGTATGCCGGTTAGAAACCCAACTCCGTACGGGGTCGGTACCCAGGTCTGGAGGTAAGCATCTTGAATATCCCGGAGGGGCAGCCGTGGGTAGGTACTTTAGGAGTCTCTAGATTTGCCCTATGTCATTGAACCGCGCAAAAAGTGAGTGTTTGCTGGGACCCTCGTTCACAAGTTCCAATCTTGCCTCTGTACTTGGTTAGCATCTTCCTACTTCTTCCAGAATAACGTTTTCTTGGCCCATATTCACAGAGCTGTCGTTCTTCACCACTTGCCTCTAACCGCTGCTATGGCGGCAGCTCCCTTCATTTCGCTGCTCCAGGGGGATCAGTTCTTGGCCGACACACCAATTCCAGGGTCGGCTGTCATTCCCAACAGCGGGAACCTGTTCCCAAAATGGGCAGACAAGCTGAGCCCGACAGCCGTGGAAACATGGCTGTTTGATGCCATGGCAGAGGATGGCAGTGCCGCCTTCACCGTCTCCTTCTTCCGCGACGGCTCACAAGCCCCTGCCAGCTTCAGAGCCGCCATCAACGCCGCCTGGTCCGATGGCACCGTGTGGTCCCAGCATCTGGTGGTACCAGTCTCCGTAGTCACTTCAGACGGCCCTGATGTCGGCCATGGTCACGTAGCCGGCGTCTGGCGCACCGAAGAGCCCCAAAGCAACGACACGACTCGCACGACCGCCAGCTTCGATGTGGCGGCCGATTTATCGACCACCACTGTCGTCTTCGACGCCCCCGGCAGAATCACCGGCAGCCTGACTCACCGATCCCTGGGGTATCCCACGCTGCCCCAATCAGACCGGGAGGCCGAGGTCGCGCCGGGAGCGTACTGGTTCCGCCCCATCGCCATGGCCAACGCCACGGTCGACCTCACCTTCCACATCGACGACCCCACCAACCCAGACAAAAAGACGGAAAAGCGCATGGTGCTCGGACCAGAGCAGGGGGCCTTTGGCGGCATGGATCGGTCATGGCTGCCCATGGTGTGGGGCAAGGAGGCGACGGACGCCTTGTTCGTGCGGGCCCAGGCCGGACCCTACGTAATGGCCGTGATGCGGCTGGTGAGCAAGCCGCACAAGTACTACCAGAACACGGTCAACGCGGCGCTGTATCGCGACGGCAAGATCGTGTCCAACGCCCTGCGCTCGCTGCCGCCCGACCGTCGCGACACGGCCGCCACGGCGGATGCGGTGCGCACGGAGAAGTTGTATGATGGTGACGGCCTGGTGGCAAAGTACCGCGATAAGAATGTTGGGTATCGTCTGGAGTTTCGCTCGGCGGGGCCGGAAAGGGAAAAGTGGTCATTTGACCTGCGTCATCATCAGGCGTGGTGGGCCAAGCCTACGAGTCGGCCAGGCCCCGACGGGACGGGGAATTCGGGGTTTGTTGTCGAAGTCACCGGCGGGTTGGTGGGTTCTGAGGAGTCTGTTCACGGCTGGGGCATGACGGGGGAGGTTGAGTTGTCTGATTAAAGGGTCACGCGCCTCAGTCTGAGTCGTTACAATTGAACTTTCACTGGGAACTCCATGGGAATAGAATTATCTTGGAGTTGACAATGGCGTGATGTGGGCTGACAGTACCTTCACTAGTATATGCTTCACAGTTTGACTTGACTCAGTTGATCGTGCTCATGACGTACGTAACTACACACTAACACCTAGTACCGCCCCCGCCGCTGCTGTGATGACCTATAGTTGATTGTGTCCATGACGTAGAAACCGCGCCATCAAGAGCATCCCCGCCGCTGGTGTAGTGACCTCTCCGCCGTTCAAAAGCCCCCGATTTCCATCTCACCCAGCCTTCCACATTTTCTTCCACCTCTTTCACGGATATCACACCCACAACCGACCATAACCGCAGCTGCCACCAAACAACCCAACAGCAGCAATGGCCGCAAACGCAAACGTTACACTCTCGCCCGAAAGCGCCGCCGCCTTGACATCAGAGTTCACAATAAGATGTCAATACTCCAGGCCGTTGACGCCCCAGCTGCGGAGGCAAGAAGCCGCCGACAGGTATGCCCAGCGATTGGTCGCGAGGATCACCGACGCCGTCGCCGCGGAATACGACCACGCGCCGCGACCCAGACGCCCCTTCCCCCCACCAACCCACCACCACCCGCCAGCATCGACTTCGACCAGGCCAAGGACCGTTGGCTACCCCCCGGACCAAGGACAACCACCACCACCACCCCCGCTGATCCCCGACCACTAACCTCCCCGCAGTTGCCATACTACACCAAGAAGCGGCATTTTGACACACAAAATCATCCTCGTACATGCCCTGTCCTACAGCTGGGACAAGCTCTCGAACTTGATGTCCTATTGCTCGAGCTCCCGTGCGAAGTGCATTTCGATTGACCCTCCGATTGTGTCTTCGTGATCGACCTTGCCCACTCCGATGTGACGGGGAATGCCTAGCCCAGCTGC